GGTGATTAGGCTAAAATGAGTCCATTATGGTGGGGTCCTAATCCAACAGAATGGGCGCCCTTATCGGGACAGAAGCGGCAGCAGCGTGTGGACACAGGGCGAGGGCTGAGAGGACACAGTGAGAAGGTGGCCATCCACCAGACAAGGAGAGGATCCTCAGGAGAAACCACACATGCTGAAACCTTGACCTCAGACTTCCAGCATGCAGAACTGGGAGAAAATAGTTTCTGTTGTTTAAGCAACCTGGTCTGTAATATGGCAGCCCTAGCTAACTAATACAGTCACTCCCAGACCATGGTTCCCATCGCACCCTTCACTGAGGTCAAGTGCATTTATTATTGATCCCTCACACCTGCACTATTGCTTTTCTTAGGGTAGAGAAATATTTCTTGGTACCCATGCTTCAGTCATATGTAAATGACTAAATATAATTAGAATATATATATTCAAATTAGATCACTTTACTCATTATGTAACTTGTCTTTTCCCAACAGACATTAACTCATTCCTTTAATTTGTTCTTTCTTTTCTCTCTCTGCTTGAACTTGACCACCCTCACAGCTGAACAAACAGGTCAGTAGCTCACCCCGGGCCGTGAATTCAGCTCTCCTGACTCTCAGGCCAATGCTCTTTCCCACTCACCACACTGCTCATTTCATAAACTCAAAGATTTGTACAGAGAATGTCCTTTCCTCTCCATCCCTACCAAGAGAATCAGATGACAGTCAAACAACTACCCTGCAAGCTTTTGTGAAATTGAACATTCCTAAAGCCCATCATAAAGTGTGATACCTTTTCATCTAGGAGGATTCAGTATTCCTTTATGATAAATAATATGATCTAGGAAGAGAATATTCTTCAGGGATGTCTACAGCTACAATTCTGTAAACACTATTGGTTTCTAAGGAACAATCCTTTTCTGGTGAAAAAGATAATTGTTTAGCTCTGAAATACATAAAGATGTTGCCAAGACGGAGAGGATACTGAAAGTTTGAATTTGAAGTTCACTTGCAATAGAAACTGCTTGAGGCTTATATTACCTTTAATATCTCTTTGACTGAAAGCCATTATATAATTATGCAATAAGTCTCTGCACTATAAATCAATGGAGCTCATATCAAGTAGCTTTTCCTTTGAAAGGACTGAAACGGGAATGGGATTGAAAAAGAGTGGCTGGGGGAAAGGATTTGCTGATTTTTCCTATTTAAAATAACTTCCATTGTTTTTCCCATCTTCCAGTTTCATTAAAGATAATGCAAATAGGTAAATAAATAAAAATACCCACCTATAATCTCACCATCCCCAGTAATAGCCAATACTGCGAATTTAATGTACATATTTCTAATCGGTTTTATATGGACATAAACATTATTTTTAATGAAAATCCTTTTTAAATTGGTGTTTTCAGACTGGTCGGTGTGTCTCAGTGGTTGAGCACTGACCCATGTACCAAGAGGTCATTGGTTCGATTCCTGGTCAGGACACCTGCCCAGGTTGTGGGCCCGATCCCCAGTGGGGGGCATGCAGGAGGTAGCCGATTGATGTTCTCTCTCATTGATGTTTCTATCTCTCTCTCCCTCTCCCTTCCTCTCTCTCTAAAATCAATAAAGAAAAAAATTTTTTGAAAAAATAAATAAATACATAAATTGGTGTTTTGGGTTGGCTTTCCCTAGAAGGAAGCCTCAGACAGGATTTGCATGCACGTGGTTCACTTGAGAGACGTCAGGAAACACAGGTAGGAGAGTGGCGACATGAGACAGGGATGGAAAGCTTCCGATAAGAGAGTACACTCCCTGGGAGTTACCACTCTGGGTAACAGGAGCTGATCTCAGTGAGGATCTCTGGGAGTCAGTATGAAACATAGGAACAAACTTATCTCAACAAAGCGCGGATGCCACGGGCTGTTTGTACACAAGCTCCACCCATGACTGCGTGAGGGGCACCATTCTTCACCACTTCTAAGCTGGGAAACACACGGACAAAGCTCAGGCAAACGAAGTCGATACTGGCAGCTGAAGGCACAGCAAGCACACAGTGAAGTAGTGGGGGTGCAGGTGCATGGCTGTGGCACACAGCATGGCCTGCTTCATTCATCTCTTACACTTTCAATTTTCTTCATGATATTAAATGGTCTGAGTATGATATTAATTGTCCCTTCTTTTGACTGCATAGTAATCTATTGAATGACTTCATCAATCACTGACTAGGGGTATTTGGGGTTTCCACTTTTCTCATTATCATATACAAATTGTGATAAACATTCTTGTATTGAAATATTTTGTGCAACTACAGCTATATCATTATTATAAATAACTCAAATTTAAATTACTGCATCAAAGGATATGCAAAATTTTATGGCTTTTGATTTGCATTGCAAAACTGCTCTCTAGAATGATTGTACTAATTTACATAATTAGCAATGTATGTTTTTTACTATGTTGTTTTTTGCCCAATATTGAGCCAAAGGAACACGGTTGCCCCAAAGAGCCATGAAGGTGATACTGTCTCCCCTGTGGGCTTGGAGGTGAGAGCATCAAACCAAAGGGGAGCCTTCAGATGTAATGAAATTTGTCTTGCTAGGTTTTGGATTTACTTGGACCTGTCGCCCCATTCTTCCTTCCTCTTTCTCCCTTTTTGAATGGGAATATTTATCCTATACCTGTCCACCACTGTATTTTGAAAGCACATAACTTGTCTGGTTTCACAAACTTAGAGTTGGAGTAGAATTTTGCCTCAAGATAAATCATATCTTGAACCTCACTCATATCTGATTTGGGTGACATTTTGGTGAGTCTTGGGCTTTATACTTTAGAGTTGATGCTAGAATGTGTTAAAGTTTGAGGGCTATCAGAATGGAATGAATAGATTTTGCATGAGAGAAGAACATGCACTTGGATGGGGCAGTGGCGGGTGTGGTAGACTGAATTGCGTCCCTCCAAAATTCATGTTAAAGCCTTGACCACCAGTTTGATGATAATTGGAGATGGAGCTTTGGGAGATAATTAGGTTTAGATGAGGTCCTGAGGGTGAAAGAGACACCAGCAGCATCTTCTCTTCTCTTCTCTTCTCGTCTCGTCTCGTCTCGTCTCGTCTCGTCTCGTCTCGTCTCGTCTCGTCTCGTCTCGTCTCTGTCTCTGTCTCTGTCTCTGTCTCTGTCTCTGCCATGTAAAGACACAGCAAGAAGTCAATCATCTGCAGTCCAGAAAGAAAGCTCTCTTTAGAACTCTAACACGCTGACAAACTGATCTTGGAATTCCCGGCCTCCAGAAAAATGAGAAATAAATTTCTGTTTAAGCTACCCAGTCTAAAGACTCCAGTATTTTATCATGGCAGCCTAACCAGACTAACACACCTGGTTTAATTTCAGGTTTGAGATCCAGCTGATGCCTCCTAACCATGTACTGGCTGGTACAGATATACCAGATGAGAACTAAGTTAGAGAAACAGGATAGATGAGCTGGTGGCAATATGGGGAGTTAATGTAGGTGAACCTCGACTAATGCAAAGCAGGAGACAGCAAAGAGCAAATGTGTTTCTCCCTTTTAGCTCTCTTCCATAGACTGCTCAGGGATGTGATTCCTGCTTACAGTCCTAGGAAGTTCTGAATGCCAAGCAAACATGCCCTTTGAGCAACCTGCTGAATCTGTTTCCAGCTCACTGCTTTTCATAACTTTTCTGTTCCACTTCTCTTTTTTCCCTCTATCTTACCACACACGTGCTTGTACCTCTTTGGACAGCAGCATTTAATTGTTGCCTCGGGCTCTGATTTCTAGAGGACCCAGAATAAGAAATATTTTCTGTAAAGACACTATATTTTATTATGATAGGAACAAAGTCCAATAAATTATTAGAAAACAAAAATAATATGTGCAAAAAGTACTGAATCAGGTCATTTCATGTTTGAGATGACTTTTTAGATACCATTATACTTTAACTCAAAGCAATTAAGGTTCCAATTATATCCTTGCATATACTGAATACTAACATACACATAATTGGATTCATGACTTTTAGACAACTATACCCAAATAATATGAATTAATAACAAAGTATAATCTTGACCAGAGGCTTCAAATATAGAGTCCTTAAATAGACTAATTTAATATTTATTACTGACATAGATTTATTTAAAACACTAAATTGAATGTACAAATAATAGAAAATTAAGAGAAATACATATTATAAATAATACATTGAAGTTCCAAAAGATCTCATTTACAATGTAAAGTATCTCCATCTTACAGTGAATGCTGAAATGTTTTGCCAAGATAAATGTTAACAAAGATACATCTGACGCTTTAAATTTTGTTTCAAAAATTTAAGTGTACAACAACTATGTAGAAAGAATCTGTTGTGATTAAAGATTAAGTCTGGAACGCAGCAGCAGGGCAGATCAGCAGCTGAGACCCATCCCTAGCAGCATCAGCATAGACTGATCAGGAGTGGTGTCCCAGCCCAAGCAGCAGCAAGGTTCAGGTAGCCAAGACCCGCCCCTGACAACGTGGATTTGGAGTGGAGCCCCTCCCCCAGCAAGAGCAAAGTCCAGGGAGCTGAGCAACCTCAGCCCCCAACAGCAGCAGCAGTAGCAGCACAAACCGGAAGCTGACACTTGTCCCCAGAAGCATCAGCAGTGACTGATCAGGAGCTGAGTCCCACCAGGCAACAGGGTGCACCCCACCAGCACACCAGCTGGACCTCCACACCCAAGCAGCATCTACCACGACAGACCAATAGGAGCAGCCAGTTGTCAATCCTCCAGAGCCCACAGCAGGCAAGAGGCGCCAAGCATCAGAACAGTCTGGGAGGCACAGCAGCCTTATCTGATACACACCAACCTGCCTACACATCCCAGCACCCCTCACTGGGCCTGGAACTACCAGACTGCTAAAATGGTGAGACAAAGAAACAACACCCAAATGAAAGAAAAGGGGGAATCATCAGAAAAGGAACTACATGAAATGAAAGTAAGCAAATTGTCAGATAAAGAACTCAAAGCGACAATGGCGGGCGAGCTTGAGAGTTGCAAGGCCCTCAGCGGGCTGCTGAGCATCCTGGCCCAGAAAACTTTCCATGGGCACCCCGGCATTGCGAGGACCTGCTTCGGAGCCAGCTCTATCCGGAGGTGCCACCCGAGGAGTTCCGGCCCTTTCTGGCGAAGATGACGGGGATTCTTAAGTCTATTGCATCTGCAGACATGGATTTCAACCAGCTTGAAACATTCTTGACTGCTCAAACCAAAAAGCAAGGAGGGATCACATCTGATCAAGCTGCTGTCATTTCTAAATTCTGGAAGAGTCATAAGGCAAAGAGTCGAGAGAGCCTGATGAACCAGAGCCGCTGGGACAGTGGGCTTCGGGGCTTGAGCTGGAGAGTTGATGGCAAATCACAGTCAAGGCACTCAGCTCAGATACACACCCCTGTTGCCATAATGGAGCTGGAAATAGGGAAAAGTGGACAGGAATCTGAATTTCTGTGCTTGGAATTTGATGAGGCCAAGGTCAACCAAGTTCTGAAGATGCTCTCAGAGGTAGAAGAAAGTATCAGCACACTGATGCAGCCAGCCTAGTGAAGGTGAAGTTGTTGAAGCAAAGGTGTTTATGATCCCTCCCCACTGACCTGTTTTTTTGTTTTTTGTTTTTAAATACTATTCACCCATTAGTATTAAATCCTCAAATTAAAAAAAAAAAATATTCGAGCATATGATTCCTATTCTCTGAAACAGATCTTTAATGTTAATAACTTGAATTTGCCTCAAGTTGCTCTGTCATTTGGTTTCAAGGTGCCTCCTTTTGTCGATCTGAACGTGAACAGCAATGAAGGCAAGCTGAAAAAGAGAGGAGGAGGAGGTGGATTCGGCTTCCAGAAGCCCAAGAAAGTCGAGAAGTCCAAAATCTTCAAGCACATTAGCAAGAAGTCTTCGGACAGCAGGCAGTTCTCGCACTGACAGCTGTCCGCCGTCCAGGGCTGAGTGCGGAGAGGATTGGCTCTCCGTGCTCTGACAACGGAATTGTTGGCTGTAGGGTCGGGACTGGCCGAGCGAGTGTAAATGGACGTGGGTTGCAAGTGCTGAGCACTGATACTTCCTTCAAGTCTCATTTGTTTCAGGTTGAAAACGAGATCAATTTTTCTTCTTTCCCAAGGACAAAGCAAAGGGATCTTTTGGTCTCTGTTGTGATTATAGAATATTTTAAGGTTAAGTTTTTTTTTCCTCTCTCATTTGTCATTTTTGTACCTTTTCTTCTGGTGTCTGAAGATTTTTGCGGCATGGATTGCTATAGCAGCCTGCTGAAAAGGACAGGTGGCCCAGGACACTGGACAGAGGTGGCGTGGTGGTGACTGCTGGATGCTGTCTTGGTTTATTTTTGTTCATTTTTGTTGTTTTTTGGACCTTAATGGTAGTTCTTGACGCCTCCTGAAAATGCCGCCATGTAAAGGGCAGGGGGCTTTTGGAAATACGTGAGAAGCACCTTCACCAAAAGGCAGCATTGATTTTTTCACATGTACCAGATTTTAAAACAGCCTTTTTCCATTTTATTGTTTTAAGAGCAAGAAATAAGAGTTGTGATTTGAGTAAATGCCCCTAGCAGTTGTGCTTGGGGAAGAGAGGAGAGATTTCTGAGCCTCATTTACACCAAGGCAGGTGTAACAGTCTGCTGTCCTCTGTGTGGTGACCAAAGACTTAAAAAAAAAATGGGTGTGTAGCGTGGTGGTGACATGCCTCCTACAAACTTGCTTAGGTGGTTTGGGTTTTAGTGAGCCCTTCCAAGTCTGCAATGCTTAGGCAGAGCGTCCTTGTGAGAAAAATGCTGCCTCTTCCAGATCCGTGAAACATGTTGTGGGAGCTCGTGATCTGTTTTGTTTTATTTCCAGGGTGTTTCATAACTACAAATGGTTAGGACATGTAGCAGTTTAAAACCAAAGTTGCTGGCGTTGTTTTGCCGTTGTGCCCGTTAATGTTTGTAGACTTTGTTAAATACGAGTACACTGAGAACATGAGGTGGGGAGAGAACAGTCTGACGCGGAGACTCCCAGGAGAGGAAGGAGTGACGTTCTGCAGCCAGCTCGCTCGGTCCCGTCGCTGGAGCGCCCCTGTCTGGGTCAGACCTGGACTGTCAAGTCCTGGATTTAACAACTTGATCTTGTAACCTGTTTTTCTTTGTTTCAGAAATAATCACGTTTCAAAAAATATACAAAAGCAAAGGGATGAATATTTAATCACTGAACAGAAGTAAAGACTGCCTATTTTGGTATATAACCTTCCAGTGTTTTATATACACACTTTTAATTTTTTTATCAAAAGTGAGATCCTCTGCCCACTCTTTGTGACCAGCTTATTTCATACCGTTATTTTCTCGTGTCATTAAATAATCACATCAGAAAAAAAAAAAAAAGAACTCAAAGCAATGATTTTAAGGGTGTTCAAACAATTTGGTAAAAATTACAAGCAACTTAATGGGAGTTATAAAGACCTCAGAGGGAACTACATCAGCATAAAAAAAACAGATAGAAGCTATGAATAAAATCAAGTTGAAATAAAGAATGACATAGCTGATATGAAAAATACCTTAGAAGGATTCAATAGTAGATTAGAAGAAGCTGAAGACCAAATCAGCTACTTAGAAGACAAGGTAGAAAAAAACACCCAAATAGAGCACAAAGGGCATGTTTCTCTCTCTCTCTCTCTCTCTCTCTCTCTCTCTCTCTCTCTCTCTCTCTCTCTCTCTCTTCCTCTCCCTCCCTCCCACTCTATCTGAACAAAAAATGGAAAAATGTCCTTGGGTGAGGATAAAAAAAAAACAAAAAAAACTCTCAGCAAAGTGAGAATAGAAAGATCATAAATCAACATAATAAAGCCCATTTATGACAAACCTATAGCCAACATCATACTCGATGGGCAAAAACTAAAAGCATTTTCCTTAAAAAAAGAAACAAGACAGGGATGCCCACTTTCACCACTCTTATTTAACATTGTACTGGAAGTCTTGGCCACAGCAATCAAACTAGAAGAAAAAATAAAAGGGATCCAAATTGGAAAAGAAGAAGTGAAATTATCATTATTCGCAGATGACATGATATTGTACATAGAAAAACCTAAACACTCCGTCAAAAAGCTACTAGATTTAATAAATGAATTCTGCATAGTAGCCAGATACAAAATCAACATCCAGAAATCACTGGCATTTTTATATACTAACAATGAATACACAGAAAGAGAAACTAAAAAACAATCCCATTTACCATTGCAACAAAAATATTAAGATACCTAGGAATAAACTAACCAAAGAAGTAAAGGACCTGTTCACAGAAAACTACAGGACATTGAAAAAAAGAAATAGAGAAAGATATAAAAAAGTAGAAGCATATACCTTGTTCATGAATTGGAGGAATTAACATCATTAAAATGTACATATTACCTGAAGCAATCTATAGATTCAATGTAATCCCTATTAAAATGCCAGTGACATATTTTACAGAACTAGAACAAATAATTCTAAACTTAAAATAGATAAAAGACTTAAATGTGACTCGTGAACATATTAAAGTCCTAGAAGTAAATGTAGGCAGCAAAATCTCAGACATCATGCAGCAGAATTTTCACTGATACAATGCTTAGAGCAAGAGAAATAAAGGAAAAAATAACAAATGGAACTACATCAAACTAAAAAGCTTCTGCACAGCAAAAGAAACAAGAATCAAAATGGGAAGGGAATCCACTGTATGGGAGAGCATAATTGCCAATGATACATCAAATAAGAAGTTAATTTCCAAAATATATAGAGTACTCATACAAGTCAACAAAAGGAAGACAAATAATTCAATTTAAAAAAAAAATGGGCAGAGGACCTAAAGAGACACCTCTCCAAATAGGACATACAAATAGCCAAGAGACATATGAAAAAAATGCTCAACATCATTAATCATCAGAGAGATGCAAATCAAAGTAACTATGAGGTATCATCTCACACCTGTCAGAATGGCTGCCATCAACAAATCATCAAAAAATAAGTGCTAGCAAGGATGTGGAGCAAAGAGGACTCTAATACACTTTTGGTGGGAATGCAGACTGGTGCAGCCACTATGGAAAACAATATGATGTTTCCTCATAAAATTTAAAATGGAACTGCCATTTGACCCAGTGATCCCACTTCTAGGAATATATCCTAAGAAGCCTGAAACACCCATCAGAAAGAATATATGCACCCCTATGTTCATAGCAGCACTATTTACAATTGCTAAGATCTGGAAACAGCCCAAGTGTCATCAACAAATGAGTGGATAAAAAAGCTGTGGTACATATACACAATGGAACACTATGTAGCTGTAAGAAAGAAAGGTATTTTATCCTTTGAGAGGACATGGAGGGACCTAGAGAGCATTATGCTAAGAGAAATAAACCAGTCAGAAAAAGACAAGTATCACATGGTCTCACTTATTTGTGGAATATAATGAACAAAATAAGTTGATGAACAAAATAGACCCAGAGACATAGAAGTATGTTTCAGACTTATAAACCTTAGAGGAGGGAGGCCAGGGGGAGGGAAGAGATAAATCACAGAACTTATATGCATATATGCATAACCAATGGGCATAGACAACAATGCTGGAGGGAGGGGGCAGGATTGGGGGGAAAGTATCAATGGGGGGGAAAGGAGAAACATCTGAACAAAAATAAATTAATTTAAATAAATTTAAAAAATATGAATTCTAGGGATTTTAGTTGATTATAAATTTCATGTGAACACCTTTAAGTATCTAACCCTATCTTACACTGTATTAAGGAGCACTTTATTCATTTGACCCAAAAAGAATAATTCGTTATTCTCTGTTTTGTAAGACTTTTCAGAAATCTTGTGTGCAGTTTTGAGAGTCAATGTTAATTGGAAGACTATTAAAATAGTAAACATATTTAGGAAAATAAAGTCTGAAAGATTAAGAATCTGAGAAACATATCATGAAAAATAAATCATTGAAAGGTGTAGGATTATTCAACCTAAAGAAGCAAAGACTCCTGGGTTTGACAGCTAGTTTCAAATAGTTGAAGGGCTATTATTAGAAAAAAAATATAAGCTTACAGATTTCAAATAATTCAGCGAAATATCATTTAAAACACATTATCTTGTGAATCTTACCTCAGAAAATTATTTCTAAGTAATAAAAAGCCCCGCACATCTTTGAAGCCTAAGACAACAATACTACACAATGAACAAAATGTATTCTTATTTCACAGGCACAGTGTCGGGGGAGGGACAGGGGATGTGGGGTGGGAAAAAAAATGTATTCTTATTTTAAATGTCATGGGCAACAAAGAAGCTTTAATACCCAAGAAGAATGATGCATTGTGCTGATATAACTAGGAGAACTGAAATGTGATTCAGGGTGAAAATATATGTCTGAGGTTTTTATTCATCAAAGCTGGGGCTATAACAGTGAGGGTGGGGATCCCAAGGGGCATGAGGATAGTGTGGGACTTCTCACCCTAAAGCAACAGAAAATGACAAAGCAAAGGCGTGTGCAGAGTCCAAACCCTTTAAAGAAACCTCATTCACCAAAGCCAGGAGTGGACTCGGAAGAATTATGCAATGGAAACACAACACCAACGGGTATCAGAAATG